ACCTAATGAGGTACAAGCTTAATACTTACATAGGACAGGATCCAAAAATAGGCGTAGATGGTCTAAATTTAGCAGAGTTCATTTTTGTATGAAGTTACTAGAATATTATGGGTAAATTTTCATCACCGGATATTATAACTTAGAGTTGTTTTTTCTGCAAAGGATCAATTTTGATGAAAATCCTTATTAGAGTAGGATCCAAAAAATTGGCCACGATGGTCCAAATTTGGCACCGCTAATTTTTTTATGTTAAATTGCTATTATGATATAATTTCCATCATGAAGCACTTAAAATTATACTTTTTTGTCAAATAAACTTCAGTTTTTGTTATATGAGAGGGGGTTCAAAAATTGCCCCAGCCAAGGTGCAAGGTTTTCATATCAATGCAGAACGCCGAAATACTACTACTTGGCCACTTTTGCCGAGAAATTTTAAAAATCACGACCTTGCAGAATAGGGCATTATAAGGGGAGTGGTCGAAAATGTGAACTGATCGGAACCATTTTCAATAGCATTCGCCCTTGGGTCAAAACACGTCACTGTAACAAATTTCATCAAAGTATCCCAAAAATTGCGTCCTGTAGCTTGAACAGAAATTTACACGGGCAGACATCATACGGACCGACGGACGAACAGGCTTAAATCAATTCAGATTATGATTCTGAATCCATCGATATAGTAAAAGGTGGGTCTATCTTAAGGTCTTTCACGTGTTACATACGGCGTCACTAACTTAATATATCTTGTAACACAAGTGGTGTGGGTATAATATTAATTATAATAAAAGGATCTTCAAAAGCAAATAAGAAAATTGTATTTGGCAGTGACGATCTTGTTCTTGTATCCACTATCTTTAGCTTAAGAAAAATTAATAAAACAAGGAAAAAAATAAACCTTAATTAGCTGTAATTTTGAATGGACATGGCTGTATGTTTTTGTAGAATATACGTAGAAATTTTTATCGTGCGCCTATTGTAGTTCGTAAGTAACGCCTAAAAACGTACAAAGCACAAGTGTTTTTACCATGTTTTGCAGTGTACGCGTGTACTTTTACCGAATTAGACTATTTTCCACATCGATTTGGCCGCAGGATCTGAATTTGTTTTTGCTGAATCCGAAGGGTATAGCTCGACTTTTGCGGCTAGGATCGAAGTGGTTAAGAGCAGGCATTATGAGGGCATTACAGTTCTACTGAACTATAGTTCGGTTCATGGCTCTTAAAGAAATTATTAAATGTTATACAGCGGCTGTGATTCCTCAACGCAAGCATGTCCTAAATGCAACATTGCTCTCTGATTTTAAAACTTTGGGGACCATTGTGGTAAAATTCGTCGGAAAAACGAAAATGGTCAATTTTTACATCACGACTAGCCGCAAATTAAAAAAAAAACTTTTTTTGGAAATGCAATGTTACATAATCAAAGTATTTAATTTAGGTTCAAATCTCAAACGCACCTTTAACACTAAAACTACCGACGATTGAGGTATACCTACTTCTACCGGAGGTGTCACAATGACTTGTTTCTTATATTACCAAGACCTTTAAGAACAGACAGCAATTTTTAGTTTTTACATATATTTTATTTTTATGGACAAAAATTAATTAGAATCTGAATAATAATAGTAATAGGATAGGAAAAATTTATAAAATACTTATGCATAAAACCAAAGTTTGAAAGTTACAGTAATTTTAGTAGAACATTTACCACGGAGTCGTTTATGGTATGTACCACATGTTCGTTTTATTATTAGTACACTGTGCTATTTGACACCGTTTACGGTTCATCGAAATATTTGTCTGGTTCTGTAACGATTTAGACAATCGTATTTCTTCTGCTTGAACTGTAGATCGACTGGTTAGTTCTTTGTGGTTAAAATGACTCATCTCGGTATAGGTAGGTATACCGCATACAAATTTACAACAAAATTATAAAAAAAAATATAACAGTTTTACAGAATTAATTATTTGTATATCTTAGAAAAAGTCGTGCAAAATTTTCTAAAACGAAATGCACCTGAAATGAGTTATAATTATAAAAAATGTCAAACGAGTCATTTTGATCCCCCTTGGTAGTGTTAGGGTCCGATCAAAGTTGAAGGTGGTGGGCGTTAGCGATTTATAGTTCAGTATTAGCTTAACATAGGTATTGTGCGAAACGTGGATTCATTCGTAACTTAAGTACGGTATTTCAGTTCATCTGGAATTGACAGCATAAAAATTTATAATATAAATAATGAATAATTTGTTACTGTTCGCACGATTGTTCATTACAATGATTGTATTTTGAAATTACAATAACAACGTTTGCACATAGGAGGTGAAAAATATATAAATGATTTATAGAATTCTTTAAGCGATTTTGTTTTTTTCATATATTTGCAATTGTATTGCCGTCAATTCTGGTTTCTCATGAATTTTTCCACTAACTGAAATTGCCTACTCACGTTTAAAATTAAAACACAATCCACACACACTCTCATAAATACTAATACTAATACGTCTATATATAGACTTTTATGGTTGACAGACAAAAATAGCTGCAGGATATATATGTATGTTTTTGCTACTTCTAATGTTTGCAAGAGAGTATGTATGGATAATTGTGATTGTGAGCGTGTTCGTAGATGTGTTAGAGGAAAACTATTATAAGGAAGTCAAGAATGAATAGCGAGAGAAACAAAAAATCAGAACACATAGAACAATAAAAGCGGAGCAGACAGACATCAAGGTGGCTTAATACAGGAAAATATATTTCTATGTACATAGATATGCGTACTTTATATAAATTTATATTTACTTAGTTGAATAAACGTATATAAAGGCATAATTGAATTGACCTGACCCTAAATAAACTAATATTTGTGGCTCGTATTTGTATATATATATATATATATATTGTACCAAAATTTTTAGGCAGTTGAAGTTCAGAACTGCTTACCTAAATAAGTACGTAATCGTAGAATAACGCAATATTTATGAAATATCTGAAGGTTTATCTATCAGTGTACTACGATTATTCCTGACACGGCCGTCGCAAACTCGATTCATAGTTCAAATACCATTCTCTACTTTAAGAGGTAGAAGCTTAAGAAACGTACCTACTGATTCGAGAACCATCTTAGTACAGAGTGATTTCTTAGAGATAATTTCAAAGATTGTGGCCAATAGTTTCTTGTTGGTGAAGGTGATAATTAACCAATATTTCTATTGAACCAAAAAAGAAACAAACTATTGCAGATAATATCCTTGTTAACTACAATCATTTTCACTCTTTCAGCATTGAAAAATTTGACTCATGTTATTTTGGGATGTTGCGTCGCTTCATCCACATTTCCTTAACACCAGCACAAAGCGAACCCCGTAAGTCTTGCATGCAAATATGGTCCACCGCCTAGACATTTGAACGCACTGACATCGACTGGGTTGTCGCAAATGAGAGTAACTCGGAAGCTTCTGCTAAGAAAGTAAAAGTCTGGGCACAAATTCGGCTCTAGAATTACATGCTTCCTTGCTCCCGCTTCAGTGAAAAGTGCGTACCCGAGTAAAAATCGTCGAGGAAAGAGAATTATGAAAAATATGTGGAACACACAAGAACCAAAACTTCAATAACGTTTCGGAAAACGTTCTATAATTTTTATCCTTTTGGCTAAAAGTTTTTTCAATGATTTCAAAATAACGTTCTCTAACGTAAGCACATTTCTTAGTAAAGGAAATTGAACTTTTCGATCCAAAAATATTCAACAATCACACCTAATTCAAATTTTTTTTAAAATCCCGTATTAAAAGATGTCTATTGCTATAACTATATATACATGGATTAAATGTTTTTTTTTTACGATTTGCACCAAAAAGTTCGCAGTGATGAGCTTGCTAAACTAAAGTTGCTGCACGAGAATAATCCCGATGTCTCCAATTTGTAACATTTTTCAATCGTTTCTTTTTAAACAAATATTGACGTTTTGCATATATAAACATACTTCTACCGATAAGTTCGGAGCGTTCTGTTATCGAACATTCATGTGGTCTGGGTAGCAGTCAGAAATATCACAACACTCAATAATTTTCCGGTCTATTATGGCATTTATAGGACGGAGAGGAAAATTATTGAGCGATTTATTAGTTACGTCAGTTCGAAAGTTATAGATGAAAATATGACTAAGTTGTCAGTTTTGCTGTAGTTTTTTTTTCGAAATCATCTCAATTTCTTGTATGTTGTGTCTGGCGCATTTTTCAATTGTTTCTCCTTTTGGTCTGGCCCATAATGATTTGTAACTATTCCACTTTTTCCCCTTGCAAAAGACTGTTTATTATATTATCATCATATATAAATACTAATTCTTACTAGCCGCTTAAAATGCCATAACTATGTTACTATGCCATATAAAGGCGATCATCTTACTATCCTTTAGAGTAGTGCTAATAATTTAGCGGCAAGCGAAACATTCGTGTTTTTATTTGTACTGCCTGCTTAACCCTTGTCCGGTTAACTTTATTTTCGAGCACTTTCATTTTGTGGCTCAAAGTGTACATTCAACCCGCAATTATGCCTTATGTCTCATTCGAAGTTCCCCGTTATAATAACTTCAGTTGTTTCATGCACCATGTCATCTTCTTGAGTAGTGAGTGGAAAAAGCATTTCGAGTTGAGCAGTCGAAAGTATTGTCAAAAATAAATTGTGAATAATTCTACCTTTAAGAAATATAATTATAAATAGAAGTACTTTGAAGTGTATTTCTCTTGAACAAAACTGTATTTCTCTTGAACAATCATGTGGCAGTAAGAAGTTATTTTCAGAATTTACTGAAGAGAATTGCTACGAAATAGTAAAATTACTCACATACGAACAACTCCAAGCATTTAAAAGAAAACGAATGTTTACCCGTTGTTGCTCTCTTTTAGCAAAATTACTAAACTTTTATTAAAAATCCAGGGAGTGCAGTTGTCTTAATTATCTTAACTTTGTAAATTGAATTCACACGGCATTGTTTTATTTTACAGTTTTACACACATCAGCGAGTTTAGCGTTAAACGAAAGTTGGGACCCCGATGTGAGGTAAAAGATTCAATATTTTGAAATATTATTAAAGTGTAATAAAAAAATGTAAATGTTAAAAACTTTTTGCTGATTAAGCCATAAAAAATTAAAAATTTCTTCTTAGAGACGACATGGAAATGATGCTAAATAAAATAGTTCCCGAAGGTTTGCCATACAGACATTCGTGTGAAGGACCCGATGATATGGTAAGAGCCTGAAATGTTTCCGCTGAAATGGTAAAAAAAGCAATAAAATCTTTTTACAGCCCGCTCATGTAAAAGCCTGCTTTCTTGGTAGTTCTTTGACAATCCCTATTACGGATGGTAAATTATCGTTAGGTACGTGGCAGGGCGTTTGGCTGTGTGAGCATCGCGATCAGGCGGGCTCGCGTAAATTGGTTATAACATTAAGCGGGTGTCCGAGAGAGACGGCACGCAGCCCACTGTCACCGGTATCGCCTATTGCTTCTACATCCAGTTAGGGAAGGCCTCGCTCCACCCGCGATAGTCGGTAATCGCGGGGGAGCGACAATAATGAACACTTTTCGTCGAGGAAATTAATTTTGAGTAGTAATTTAGCTAATACCAATAAAATGAATAGGATGAATGCAGCGGCTAGTACAACAGCTGCAACAACAACAACAACAACTCCAACATTTAGCGCATTATTAACTGAAAGTAGAAATTTATTATTAAAACAACAATTGCGTTTGCAATTGAATTTAAATGTAAACGATATGATGAATAGTTATCAAGTGACAAATAAACGGCAGCAGCAACAACGACGTCGAGATGTTCATGATAGTGACATTTGTTTTGATATTAATAAACGTAGCGTTGTAAGAGCTGAACGAAATGATGATGACCGAGATGCCGACGATGTAGTAAGAAACGCTTCCACAGTGTTTCAAAGACATGTGGAAGTACTTAACAAATTAGATACCGTCACAACAGTGCCTAAACTACAACAACAACAACTTAATAAATTTAATATTAAAACAAATGAAACAGATACTACAAGTATAGTAGCACAAACCAATAACATAACATCGGTAGAACCATCAGTAACTACATCAACAATAACTGCAACAACATATTCGTCATTAATACATTCATCAAACACGGCATTAGCTAAATTCAATCGAATTATTGACAATACCATGCCGGCTACAAATATTTATTATCAACAACAAGCGGCTGCTGACACCGTATTTAAAGCACAACAGCAGCAACAACAACAGCAGATGCCATTTCTAAGTGATAGCTTAAGAAGACGCTTGGCTCAACAATATCCCGACATGATCGCGAATAGTTCGAAAATTAATTTAACCGCAACTACATTAGCAACAACCGCGTCACTAACGACAACATCTGCAGCGGCAGTAGCAGCCGCCGCAGATGAGTTGCAATTGAAACGAAATGATGTTCATTATTTGTTGAAACAATTAAATAGTTTTAGTGATATTGAAGAAATAGAAATTGTTGATATGAAGCAAAAACAGCGTCAGCAACAACTTTTAAATAAACAACAGCAAAAGCAGCAAGAGCAACCAGAAGATCTTGGTGCACATGTAGCTGAGCAGGAGCCCTTAATACAACAAATTTGTAAAGATATATATAGACAAGATTTTTTGGCGGCTCCATTAACTCAGTTACATGTGTCCGGCGAGAGAATGCAACCATCACCGACATCAACAACTTCACTTGTGTTATACTCCCCTTCTTCACAATCGCACAAGGGCATACGTCGCTATGCATCGCTGCATCAACAAGACGAATTCCCACATCATAATCACCATCATCATAACTATCATCATCATCTCCACCATCATCATTCTTCTGCAAACAGAACTCATCCCTCATCATTTTGTCAACTGCCACATGAGCATTCGGCTGATTCTTGCATATGTACTATGCGAACCGATACTCAAATGTTGCAACAATTTGTGGATGATTATATATTTCAATCCTGCCACTATTTGGAGACGAATAATTTTGCCGCCAATTATCGCACTGCCATGGTCGAGAGTTCGTCACATGAATTTCGACCTTCGACGACCACCACTACACGCACTTCGACCACCAATGGCGAGGGTTACGATGAGGATGGTGGACTGGCGGGGGCCTATAACGAAGACGCCTCATCAGCTCAATCGTTTGAATTACATGAAACCGAACCGCCCAGCGTGATTTGTAAAGCGCCCGCACCCTGTTCGCCTGTCTACCCGCAACGAAAGCAATATACGATGGAAACACGCTTATGCAGCAGTGGCGTACAGACTGATTTAACGGCTTCATCTTTGGCTCAAAGCAGCAGTATGAGTTGCTCAACTACGTCATCGGAGCGACGAGCGCGACGTAAGCCCTTGTTCAAATGTTGCTATACGCCGTTAGATAGATGGCGTGAGAAACGTTCTAACGCAACCACCATTGCCGTCTCTTCTTCCTCCTCGCCAACAACACAAAAACGCACAAAGACCGCCCCGTCGCCTACCGTTCTAGACACAAGTGTTGCTGTCGTCGGTAGCAAAGGTGCTGGTGCTGCAACCTTCGTATTGACAACAACGGCGGCGGTGACCACGGCAACAACGATTACTACAACGGCATTTGTTCACGCCAAAAATCATGGCCATGCAGTTTGACAAATGCCTTTGAAGCAACACAACATTTTCGGTTGTTGCTTGCTTTTCACCCATACAACCACCACCACTACTAGTACTATTATTACTATCACCCACAGACACCATAGCATTGCTATTTTAATAGCAGTAATCACACAATTCAGTAGACGTTCATTTTTATATGAAAACACCGCGTCGCCACATAATTTTGCAGCTCAGCTGTCGCTGCCTTATATTAACATAATTTGTTTTATTTTTTGCGATATCAACAATTTTGCTATTTCCCCACATTCGCCACAAAGCCCAGCATTTTTCAAATTCTGCAATCGTTTCTAAATCTAATTCTTTCCAATAGATTTTTTCAAGTATTTAAGAAGATAACATTTTTATAAAGAAATGCGAATGAAACCTAAAAAATTGTATAAAAGATATTGATAAAAATATAAGGAATGTTGTTAATATTACTCTGGAGCAAGATTGCTGAACGAAGAGATGCAGAAAAGTGAAATTATAACAAAAACAACGAAAAGTTGTTTTAACACACATACACTACCTAATATTTTTGTTTGTGTTTTTGATCATAAAGTGAATTTTGAAATATATTTTAACATATAAGTGGTCCATCCGCTAATTTTGAACAAATTCATCAATTTTGTTGTAAACTTGTTATTGTTAGAGTTAGTTTTCCTAACATTTTCAACTATTTCGCTTACCAAAATTCTTTGGCAAAAGCATTGAACCGAAGGCGGATTCTTTATTGAATGATAATGCAATAATAGCATAAGTGGCAATATAAACAACTAACTCGGAAATCGCCATCAATTTTTCTTAACAATTCAATCAAAAAAAATGATTTGCTGTGCGTAAACATAGATATACCGTTTTAAAGGCATTTTTACAAATAAAACCAGTTACAGTATGAATGGTTCTTGAAGTAAATGTTGCTTTGTAGGGTATCGAACGGTTTGTAGAATGCGAATGCGCAATTCTGTAAGTTTCAACTTCTAAGTACAACAGTAACTTAATTTCAATTCGATAAATTGACGTTTTCGCGATTTTCAATTAAAATGAAAAATTGTTTTCAAAACTAAACGTTTACGTGTATTGAAAATATAAATTTATTTATATCTACATATTCGCCAAAATTCTTATATACAGAAATACTACGACAATGGTATGAAAATTACCTTAAAAACAAAATGAAAGGAAAAAAAATTTGTTTAGAACGATTTAAGAGCCTAATGAAATAATAATAATTAAAAAAAAAGGAAAAATAATTTTTATTATTAAAATAAAATTTATAGATATAGTCGCCTAAAAAACTAAAAATATAAAAATTATATATATTTAAAAAAATCACCACTCAATAAATAATGCAATTAATAATAAAAGAGAATAAATTACAAAATAGGAAAAAAACAAAAAAAGAAACGAAAGGATAAAGGAAACAAACAGCCCATGAAAACATTTGTTAAAACAACTAAAGTCGCTATAAACATTATTTTCTAAATATAATCAATAATTAATTACTAAGTCGGGAAAAAAGTTTTGCATATAAATAAGACATTATAAAGAGTCACACTATTGCAAAAATTAAAACCAAAAAAAATAAATAAAAAAGAAAATATTAGAGAGCTTGTATAGTAAATATTATATAAGAAAAAATATACAAGAAAAGAAAAGAAAATAATAATTATTTTTAATGTAATAATAATAATGATATTGTAACAACAATAATAATAACAATAACAACGGTAATATAATAATAATAACAATTTGATCTATTTATATGAACTTAAGCCCTTTGAAAAGAGGTAATAATATTATTCTATTTAAAAAGGAAATAAAATATCATTCATTAGAATAATCGAAAGCCAATTTTTATTTCATTATCAAAAAAAAAAAAAAAAAAAAAAAATTACAAAATTTTTGATTATTTTCTAATTTTCAAAAGTTCGCTTACGCTTTCTGCACCTCTTTAATATTGACCCAGGAAAAACATGAAAAAGGGAGAAAATGGTTTAATATTGAAAGTAGTTACTTTCATTACCATTTGTATGGAAAAAACACTACACTGAACAGCAGGACAGCATAAGATTTCGATAACAGATTTGAGGCGCGCTAAGGCGATATAATAATATTTTCATCAAGGTAAAGAACACGTAACGTAACGTTTTATCATAACTTTGATTTAATGAATGTTAAGTCTTGGGAATAAAATTTATATATTATGTAATATGTGATGTATGATATATTATATAGGTATATTAGTGTGTATATGGTACATATGGTACGGTAGGAAAGTTAAATAAACTTTTGACCTAAATTGTTTTACAAACTAAGCCCGAAAAACATTTATCAAATGAAAGTTTAAGATATTAACAGTTCCGATCGACTCATAGTTATTTTCGCACATTTTCTTCTTAAGAGGATGTCAGGTTTACAAAGTACTATTTAAAATATTGGACTTGCAAAAAAGTATTCAAAGTATTTTCAATCCTGAATGGTGGGTGGACAACGTTAATCATTTATCAAATTTCCTATATTTGCAAACCTCACTCGTACCAAGACATTTGTCGCTACACAAAAAAATATATATATATATAAATGAAAAAAGGAAATTAAAATTCCGTTTAAAGAAAACATATAAATGCAATTGTTACATATTCATTCAGTAAATCACTCTAACGGCAACCAAAAGAAACAAAGAGATTGTTTTAAAAACAATAATAATAATAAAAATGAAAGAACTGCATTGCATTAACCAACTCATCATGAAACTCAAAAACTACAATTTACAATTTATACATAATAATTATAATAAAAATAACAGCAGCAGCAAAAACCATAAATTTATCCTAGCTATAAAAAATTTGTTAAGTTTGTAAACCATTTAATTTTAAATTTAAAAAAAAAAAAAACAAAAATAAAAAATGAGAAATTTAAAATGCTAAGGAAATTTGTTACGTTTTCCATAACATACATGCATTCGATCATATTTATATAATAATTAAGTAGGGAAATACTCTAAAATTATTATATTTTATTATTATTACGTTTATTATTTCCGTTATTTAGTTGTTGAACTAAGTTATTACACCCACTACCACAAGAGATGAGGACATAAATATAGTTGCGATCTTGTAATGCACACAGGAATACATATCAGAGGCTCCATAAAGAATATATATTCGTGTGATTTGTAGGAGAATCTAAGACGATTTATTATCGTATGTCTATCCATCCGTTCACTTTTGGTTCATTTAATTTCGTAACGCACATGTTTCAGGATTGGTTTCGCACATCAAATTTATAAAAAATGTTTATGTCAAAATAATTGTAAACATATTCGAGCAAAAATTTAAAAGAATAATTATTAATTTTTATATATTGACTTGAGGTATTGGGTATTCAAGTTTCGCATTGAAGCGAACACAACTCTTTTTAACTAGTTTTCTCTTTATTTTGAAACGCGCTACTCTCATGCATGTACATATATGTCTACATATATATACACGGTATTTCTGCAGGACACATTCTTCTTCTAAATTTTCTTTTTCATTATTTTTCTGATCAAAAATTTTCGCACCTTTCAATTAAGGAAATACAATTTTTTTTCAAATCACCAGAAATTTTTGAAACGTAATATCAACACCACTATAAACAATTACAAGAATAAAAAAATGAATATTTCATATGAGAAATACCTTAAAAAAATAAAAATAAAAAAAAAACAAAAAAAAAAAAACAATAAAAAATTTTAAAAATTCGAAATTTTCCCAAATGAGTTTTATTTGTTATTATAATTCTAGAATCACAGAATTAATCTTTTGACTTGACTTTCAAGCAAATAATAAATTTATTGGCCTTACACAGTAGATACGCTAATCAATGTTAAACAGTTAAACAAACCGGCAGTTCATGACTCGAATACATGTTTGGAGTAGTTATACGGCTTTTTGAAAACGTTCGGCCTTGCATTTTTATTTATTTATTTTTTTTATCAATTCAATATCACTACGTTGTTCTCGTTACTTTGTGTCTTTGCGTGCTCAAAAATGATTGTAGCGTTTATATGTCTGTTACTTAGCTCTGATTTTTGAAATGTCTTGTGAATTGAACCCTGAATTAAGTCGATTAGCCGAATTCGAGTTATGAGCAATTTTGGAAGCAGCGAAAAGTAAGGAAGAAAACGAGAGGAACACGCAAGAAGTTTCCAAAAACTACTTAAAAAAACTCATTATATTGATTGTTCTTACAATGTATGGCCAGAACCTAAGTGCTCATATCCGGTATTCTTTTTTTAAAGCAGAATTTCTTTCCACCATTTTTTAATATTTTTCAGTTTTAATTTGGTTTTAATTTATATTTTAAGTAGTTGAGCTCTGAAAGGTTGCTGTAATGAGACATAATTAGTGTGAATTATTTTTGGTTTTTACTGATAGACAGAGACTTTCGAAGGTTGAAGAAGTAGTCGTGTTACCTACCAAATTACAAATCATGGATTAACTGGTCTGCCTTATCCTAAAGATGGCCCGAAGTATACATATGTTTGGTTAGTGTAGGATTCTCACTTAATTTAGGCATCTGCCGGTCCATATTTCCCATATTGTCGTTTATTATTGGAACTAGTAAGTCCGCACTATTAGACAGAAATTATGGCTGCCCATGGCTCAAGCTTGAAGTGAGGAATTAAAACGAATCTTAAACTTTCAGTTAACAAAATGTTCCTCGGTTCGAGTTACATTGTTCCAAAGCTCGTTTTATTGAATTCTTCAAAATTTTTATTCCTAATTTTCATGACATTACCAAAAAAAGGAATTCTAAGACATCTTAAAGCAAAGTTTTGGCATGAACCTCTGATAGTAATTGACACTCTCGAGATATAATCTTTAAAGGTCAATTTCTTCTCAATACATTCTATAGCATGTAATTTGGAGTTTTCTCCTTATACGCCTTTTTTTAACCTATATTTTATGAAGGCGTCATCAACGTTCTTAGTCCTATTACACTTTTTTTAACAAAGGGTAAGCGAACAACAGACGATCCATCGTTCCCTTTACCCTTTATAGACCCTCTAGGGTGCGTATATCTAAGTGTTACAAAAAGTAATTGACAAACCTTTCGCATAAACATGCTTTGCCAGCAGATCAAGGAAAATATTTTAACTTATAGAAATTTTCGTAAAAAATAACACTCGAAACTTGGATGCATTGGGAAAAATTTGAAAACCGGTTTTGAACTTCTTAAACAACAAGTCTTGAACCAATACTAAGAAACACTTCTAATTTTCTCAGTCCCTACGTGAAAATTGATTCGCAATTTAAACATTAATTTTAAACAACATTACAAAGAAGAAAAATTAATTCCCATCAAACGCATTTTTTATTTTAAAATTGCGTTGTAATTCATTTCTGAAAAAGTTGAAAATTTAAAAATAATAATCAATAATCAAGAATGTAATAGTGAAATGTAGGCAATGATTTTCATAAGATATTGTTCTATGATTTGACTTGGTTCCCAACAATAATTTTACATTTAAATTTCATATAAAATTTTTATTATTTTTTTTGTTTGATTTTGTAATATAAACATCTTTAAAAGTTCTTCCAGTTCATTAAAAAAAAAGAAATAAGAAAAATGCATACTTAAGCAAAAAAGAAAACACAGCAAACTAATTGCCTTTAGAACCCACACATCTAGGAAATAATACACATCTAGGAAATAATAGAATAAATTAAATAAAACAAATTTGTGCTAATCAATAAAAATAGTTTAATAATTTAATTAAAAATACCAAATAAAAAACAAATCTATATATAAAATATTAAACACATTGGTTAATAACTTTCATTTAAATTTAAATTTTATAAAAAAAGTGTTCTTTTATTACAAATAAATAAAATCTCCTCAGATATATATGTCTAACATTTATAAAATAACAGAATTTTTTTTTTTTTTTTTTTATGGGAAGTAAAAAAGCTTTAATTAATAAATTAATTATTCATCTATATATATTTATGTACAAACTAAATTTATTTTACATCCATCACTGAGAGAGCGGAATATATTTATTATTATCTATATGAACTCACATTCCAGTGACAGCGTGTGGTTTGCTTCACCACGCTCAGCTCTTAGCACTCTACAGTTAGGACGGAAAGTTTAATACACACGCTTTCTATTTACCTCTTCCTCCTCCCCCTCCTCCTCAAGTCGAGTTTGGGAGTGACCCATTAATAAAAGTTCACAATGGCCGCAAAACCGAAAGAACGAAAACATTCATTCAATCATTTTTACGGATAAATTATCAGCTATTAAAGATGATGATTTCAATTTTTGGCAAAAATGTATATCAAAGCCATTTTTAATGCCATCGTCTGCATCAAATCTGATACATGCATCTTCCATATGTTCTGGTGGTGCATGCTTATTGTAGATAAAAACCGAGCCGAATAAATTTTTTGTTATTTTACATATATTCGTTTAAAGTAATGGGTGTTCAAAGTTCGTTTTGAAACGAACATAACATTTTTATTTCTAAATAAACGATAGCTTATTGTTGCAAGATACCTAGCGACTGCTCCCAAGGCTCCTTTTACAAACTGCACTACATTAAACTCTTAACTTGCTATTTAGAGAAAAGATATTTTAAGTACACCGGCATTACGAATCTGCATGAAATGAAAATAAAAATAAATAAACGACAAGAAATAAACAATTTAATAATCCTGCCAAGAAACTTGTGAATACCTGCGCTTTGAAAATTTAAGGAAAAAAAATATATATATTAAAAAAAATAAAAAAAAAGGTAAAAATGAAAATAGATACACCTGCTTTTTTGCTAAAGGAAATGTACACGGATTACCAATAACAAATTACAGATACAGACACTCACATGCTTTTAAAAAAAATAAGACTTTTTTTTGAAAATTTAATAAAAAAGAAACAGAAAACTTTTATAAAACTTAAGAAAATAATAACAACAGTAAAATGAGTAAATAAAGTGTATTTTTATGGAAAATGAATTAAACTCACTTATAGATAAAACTTGAAAGAGAACATTTTTTTATACTTTCAAATTTAATTTAATTATTCTCATTTTTTTATACATACATATATATTTATACACAAAAAAAAAATGTTTTTTCTCATTTTTTATTGTAAGTAATTCCTATAAGTGAAACATGGAAAAAGAGCACAAATATTTTTAAATAAAAAAATTTCAACTGTTTTCTATTTATTATAAAAACGTATTCTAGCATATACGAGCATTGCAAACATAAATCCATTTATATTCTTATTACGTAGATATACATATACAAGTATTTTCTTGTCTAAAATTATAAACATTCTGAACTATATTTCATCCTCTAATTCCATACTTTTTCAAAATATTTTAAATTGTAAATTGGTTTAATTATGCTTGTTAGTCGTAGTCTGTTTGCACAAAAGTTGAAGATGGTATTGGTAAAATCAATATCTTCCATAGATTGTACTATGCTTTTGTTTATCGCGGTTATTGGTGTGGATAAGCTTTCATAATATATTCCAAACTTGAAGGGAGAAATGAGTAAAATTCCCGTCTCGAGTGGTGAGAACACATAAAAATTATGACAAAAAAATGGTATAAAAAGACACAAACGTGTTGGAATTAATGTGAGATGTTATAAACACCTTCTGCCTTGATTTCTATAATCCCTCGGGATCAACTTCGAGCTTTATACAATGTGAAAGAATTGATGTTATAGCTCATAACATTTGCGGACTTCCATTGAATTCTCTAAGCCAGTAGTTATGCAGACGGCTAGGGTAATTGGCCGTTACCTTGTGATCGTCGGACTATATTCTCTATAAACTAAATTTTAACAATGGAACACCATCCATTTAAAAGAAAGAAGAAGAAGTCTGAACTGAGAAATCTACGCTTTATTGGGGAAAAATCGACTTAGCACAAGAATAGGCTTTAATTGATGTATTTTCTGCATAAAAAGGTAGTTTCACTGTTTTTCCTTTTGCTTAGCTTACGATGTCGACGGAAGTTCTATAAAAACCAATTTGAAAACTTAGCTATTTTTATGTCGTTTTTGTTGATCTTGACGTTCTGATTTTCAATTGAATTGTAGAAGATATAAGAAAAGAGATTGCTATTGAATATTTTCCTTTGTTTATTTCCCCCTTTTTAATAAACTGACTTTAGAAAGTAAGCAAAAGAGTAAATTTAAATATGTGTGAAAGTTATCTAAAAAAATTAAAAACTTTTCCTTTTCAATAAAAAAAGAAGTAAAAGAAAAACTCAACATATACCATTATTTAATTTGATAAGATACAAAAAAAAATTTTGTAAATAAAATTTTCATTGCAGATAGTAAATAAACGAACAAAACAAAAAAAAAAAAAAATGATAAAAACAAAACTAGATTAATCTAAATATATAAAGAAAAAAAAGGTGAAGAAATAAAAACTACTAAGCATCAATAATAAAAATTTATACCATATGAAGAACTTATTGCAATATTTAAAAGAATATTAAATAAATGCTTTGTATAAAAAAAAAACAACACAAATAAAAACCGTGTCCCTGCGTTTTTGTTTAAAACCATTCCATTATCTACAGAAATAAAAAAGTAAAAATTATAATAACAAACTAAGACTAACAACTCACTCACGATTCACTGGCATACAATCGAATCACTATAATATTTCCACAAGAAAGAAATCATTAAACAATAAATAAAATTTAAAAAAATAATTAAAACATTAGTTAATCTTTGCACACAAAAAAGTCAAATAAAAAGAATAATATTGAAATTTGTATATTTTGTATTTGTATACATATATATATATATGTATACGAATAATGAAAAAATAAATAAAATATTACAATTGGTTTTTATCACTTTCTTCACTTTTTCATCCTCATCTTTCAAAATTTATTGTATGGTATGATTTACAGAATCGTATAACTTATTTTTATGATCGGTTACATTCGGTCTAGCTTCATAGTTGCAAATGGTAACACCATGATAATGGGCTTCGCTGAATTCACCGCGCAAACCTAAAGAAAATGTGATAAAAGTAAAATATTTAAAAATGTGCTTTATTTCCCCGATAAAATTGAACAAACCTATATAATGTATACAAGTATTATCAGCTCCGAAATTTGTGGGAAAATGTATCGATAAATGATAGACGGAGGAGAAGGTAACGACTCTGGAAAAAGTTAAAAGGATAAACTTACTTATATATCGCATAATTACGAACGAGGAGAGTATTTTTCAAGTAAAGATATAAATAAATTATAATTGATATCTAACAGGGACTGTGGAATGTGATTGCTTGCTAAGGAACAATATATACGCAGCAGTTATAATTAGTTATAAAGAAAGAGAAGTGATTTGCTTTAGTATCTAAAGTAGAACGTCTGACAGAAAATAAAAAATATTACATAATGCTTGGAAAAATCTCATTTTACAATTCTCGATAATAACTTATAACTGCATACCTTATATATACCAAATGCCGCCAAGTTTATAAAATACCTTCCACCTAATGTAGAAACCCGATCCTTACAAGATATGTTCATAAAATATTTTTCCCGTTTAAAAATGAGCTATTCGTCAAGGATTATTTGTATGTGTTGAATGGAGTATGAAAACATGTCCTTCCATATTAATATTATTTAATAATAACATTAATATTGCCTGCGGCTTCCGTTGCAACATAAAAAAAAGGATATACGTGGTGGACGATGGTTTAAAACTAAGCAGGAATAAATCACTTTTTTCTAAGTTTTGTAATTTTCTTACTTAGGACTGTATTCAATTTCACCCCGGTAGTCTGGAGATAATTCAAATTCTTGATCAGCTTTGACTAGCACGTCGTCAAATGTCATTTTTGGACGATTTTTAAACCTGAGAATATCAAAATGAAACAAATACAAATAGATAGTATAATATAAAGTAGAAATGCACCCTCGCAGTACTTACAGCCGCATTTTGTTTGGATGACTCTCATCATTACCTCCTATAATTATAATTCCTTTTAATTTGATATTGCCCGTGAATGGTATGTTGAAGAGTAACTCTTCGTCGGAATCACTTTTAACAAACTGCAAAGGTTGTTAGTTGAATTGAAAATGAAAATTATATTTATACATATGTTCGTTTTCTTACACACCTGCGTTGTATCCAACCGATTTTCATAAGGCCTAAACACTCTCTTACCACTTCCTTCTAATTCTTCATTGAGACACTCTAAATTGTCCAAATCTATTTTTTCATATAAGCTATATTCGATGCCCATTTCTAAGGGCTGATCGATGTGGGCAGCTTCATCACTACAGCCGCTATCATGATTATGAGAATGTCCATGCGGCATTTTTTTGGATATTTATTATTTTTGAGTATTTCACATGCGAAAAAACATTGTCTTTTTGTTTGCTTCCTTTGTATCTGAGAATTGATAATTATCGATAGGTGTCGTACGCCATGACAACACAAATAAATTTTTGCTACCTCTATTGTGAATGTCAATTTTCTGTTCTGAATGGTGATTTTCAACAGTTTTTAAAATTCTATAAAGGGCATTTTTTTTGTAAAAAATTATACAAAGGTTAGTAAAAAAATCTTCTAACGTGATCTACGGTGAAAATTCTTTGCTGGCAGACGCCGCAGGCGGCGCAGAATCAAAGTTCACTGTGTGCTTCGTATTTCTCACACAAAATTGAATTAATTTTTCATTAATTATGAAAATGCATGCAACTCTGTGCATACATGCAGCTGCAGAATAACTTCAATCTTTACATACTAACAGGCAGCCGCTCCAGTTGGATACATGAAGATCAAGGATTTTTTAAATAATTGTCCATCGCTTATCAGTAAATAATAACAATGCAATAGTTTCACTTTTTTTTAATTCTGACCATGGCATTCACAAGAACACACCTTACACACCTGTAATGAGAAAATATTTTTTAGGCCGCTTTGATTGTTATATATAAAATTAAATATTTAAAATGATTTCTTTAAATTCTTTGTTGTTTCTCGTTTTATCATTTAGATAAAAATTTCATATCTTTAACACTACCAATGGATAAAAAGCGACAAGAACCGCACAACGCAAGGAAAATTTAGAAACAACGAGAAGGAGATGACAATTTTCACATTTGACAACTCAACAAAAGTAAATTCAGGTCCTTGTAAACGGTTAGCTTGTTGCTATTATTAAAGAAAAACTTCATAAGCCAGCGTGCACGGACGTGGAAAAAACTTTTTTGCAAACAAACTTGAATGAAATTTGGAAAATTTTGAAATTGTGAGTAGTATAAAACTATTTAAGATATTGTTCTATTTATTATCCTTTGCTCCAAAGAAAAGTCGGATTCTTTTCTAGCTTAGCTGAAGTTTTGTTATTTATCTGCTATTGAAAAATATAAGCAATGCATAATCGTCACATCTATCTATGTACTTAAAGAAATGCTCATTTGAAAATTTTTTCTCAATTGAATACGTGAATATTGACTTTCTATAGAATATTTTCATGGTTTCTTAACGGTTTTTAAAAGACAAATCTTTTTAATTGGGAAACAAAACTTGACTTTGATGAAATATGTTGAATAGAAAAACAGAAGAAGGACAGAATTTGTGGCAAGGGTTTAACGTGGGTTCCTGCCTGTAAGGCTTAACCCCACGGTGGCCCAAACCACTTTTTAAGCGTACTACGCCCCCTGGCGAGTTAGACAATCCCCACAGAGTAGGGGCCTAAACAGCACCAGAGTCCAGATCAGTTTATTGTGTATGGAACAATAAACCCCACTCTGGTGAGTGGCGAGGGCCTAGCTGCACTCATTGTTCCATTTTTAGCTAGGAACTCGCCAACCACAACCACCACGAGTACTCCCCGAAGGGCCGCACCCAGTAGTCAGGACTCACCAATTGATCAACTGACTGCTTCCGCCATAAGGCTTCCACTGTGCTTGTTGATCAATTACCACCTTTACCCGCAGGCATTCATGACATGTGTTCAAAAGTAAAAATAGGTAAAAGGGGAGAACTTATTCGTCATACCCCTTTTCCATTCTTGCATGTATTAATTAATTTACCAGACCAGAAGAAGGACAATCTTTTATTAGATATTAAGGTTACCAGTTGCGTCATTTTGTCGCTGTGGAAACTCTCAGTAAGTGCAAAGACGCCAATAGCGACGCCGGTAAGGTCGAAGGTAAGTACTGAAAGTAAGAAGAATCCTGATAAGTAATTTGAATGGGATGTAAATGCTGACGCGCCCCAGGTAATTAAATCACAACGCAGAAAAAAGAGTGATCACAGAAACTCGCCTTGGGATAAAAGTATGACTGTGGTATTCCCTATTTTCTTTTCTATTTGCCTAGTTACCTTTAATTTTCTTTCCTTTCGTTTTTGATCGTTTAAGAATAATTTGAATTTTGTCATTGTCCCTGTGGTAAGCATTGTAGTCTATTATAATAGACCTTAATGGCTTCCAGGCAACCAATATATAATAAAATAAAAGAAGAAATGTTTTGTATGATCGGTGCTCTGGTAAGGTCTAGAATCATGGGCATTAAAAATCAGTACAATAAAGGGATTGCAAGATCCGGAAGATTCGGCTTGTGGTGTTACCGTAGAATTCGAAAATGCTCAAGTTATGAGAGGTATAAACATAGAGAAAAAAGAAAACCAGCATATTTTGGACACTTGGTATGTGCAGAAAAATATGAACTCCTTCACTTAATAACGGAAGACAATTGCAGTCAGTTGTAGATAGTGTAATTTTCATATCCTTGTGGGTAATAGCAGTTTTCACAAAATAAATTTGTTTGGGTTAAAAAGCTTGTCAATGAATGATGTTAGCTTTTAATGTACAAAGTGTATTTTCAAAGCATGGGAGAGCAGCCTCAGCGATGATATTATTAATGGACATCGTACGAAAATAATTTTCAAAAATTAAAGTAATTTTTAATATATTAACTTGTAAATAAAATTGTATAAGTTAGTTGAATGAACGTACTGCAAATAAAATGATCTTACATATATATTTTTTAAAATTTTAAACATCAGAAAGCAATAATGGAAGAAAAGTTTGTGAAAAGCAGACATTGAAACTCAACCCCAAGTGAAAACACATTATTGGAAATTAAGCATAAGCAAAAACATATCATTAAAACTGTAAACTAACACTCAAATTCAACTAAACATATGTCCTACAAAAAGTTGCAATTAAAATTTAGTCCTACTAAGAATGTATTATTAAAAATTTTTCATGTTGAAATTTAAACCTAATAAAGGCACATTTTAACTAAAATCGGTGAGTTTTTCACTACATAAGAAGAAGAACAAGGATACATCACTGTCAATAAAGTGGTTTAATCTGAAAGAAAACATATGAAAGCGTTTACAAAATTCAAGAAACCACAAATTGCGTCGATTTTACATACATTATGGAAAGAAACAAAACGGGGAAACCACCTTTTTACAATGATGGATATGATAATACTTCACGTTTTTTTTGCTCAACAAACAAATCATTTTCAATTTGTTTTCTTTCTCCTCTGCAAACTTTATAGCTATTTTAAGACTTTATTTACTGTTTTAAAAGTCTTTGGGACTCGAGGTTTCATAAATAAGGTTTTCATTTGAGTTTTGTGTTGCACCGCATCGACAAGCTTTTTAATCCAAACAAATTTATTTTGTGAAAACTGCTATTACCCACATTTACAGCTAACAGAAAGTATGACGAGAGAGACGTACAAGTGCTTTCGCAAAAGTCTTAATGCCTCCTTGTATACTTTCTCAAACAAAAGCAATTTTCCGTCCAACTTCTTAAATTAGAGGTTTCCGCAAAATAAAATGCTAGAACGTCAAACATTTTTTTAAGCAACGGGCAGTTCAATGTTTACAATGAACTCAGGTAAGAATAAGTAGTCGTTTAGAAAGTGATAGGGCTGAAATTAAACTGTTTAAGGGTTGCGATGAGTACAAAGACTTTTAATCGGAATAGCAGCTATTTAAACAATAAAAATGCAGAACCTATATTATCATAAAAGCGTTTTCAGCTGTCTAAATTCTTTTTGCAAGCTCTTTCGATTGTCTGCTGCCGTTTGTCATGTTAGAATCATAAAATAATCAATTAGATCTATTCTACCTTGTTTCGTGCTGCGAACGGAATGAGAAAATGAATACGTCTCGCCTTATAGTTCTTTTAAGTTAAATACTTAAAATTGGTTCCGCAATATCAAATCGTCAAATGTGGTATCCCTCAATGTAACTGTAGAAACAACCGTTATTATATTAGATAAAGAGCAATTCGAACGCATTCTCAGAAAAGAAATGATCCAATTAAGAGAAATATTCCGCAAATATAAGCACAAATTGCGTAGAGTTGGTGGAGCGGTACGAGTTTTATTGAGGGAAGTTGAGCCGCGGGATATAGATTTTGCCACTACCACGTATGTTTATGAAATGAAAAACATCTTCTATAAAAAGAACATATATATGATAAACTTAAAAGGAGAAAAATATGACACCATAACCGTCCATATAAACAATTAAAAATTTCGAAATAACTACATTGCGCATTCAAAAAAGATTAGAGGACGCGACGGACCCTTCCATGTGGCAGACAAATGATAGCAAAAGAGACTTAACTGTAAACGCAATGTTCCTTGATTTTAATGGAACGCTATATGATTTCTTTAATGGTTATAATGATTTATTGCAAACACGCGTGGTATTTGTCGACGATGGTTTCTCTCGCATCACGGAGGCCTATTTAAGAATTTTGCGATATTTCCATTTTTGCTGTAGACTAGCTGAAGCCTTTAAACTATGATTAATCAACTTTAAAAATCATTAATGTTTATGTTGCAAGTTTGTCTGTGATAAGTGGTGAACGGATGTGGTCGGAATTGAATAAAATTTTATCGCGTACTTATGCTGAAGTATCGCTGCTCGAAATGATTCAATGTTCGAGCCTTATGTAGGCAATACAAGCTTTTCCGGTTTATTAATACGCACCATGAAAGAAATAAACGAAGTATTATAAAAAGCTAAGGAATAATTGGAGAACGAAACCGAAACGCAAGAAGATTTCAAAATCGACGGCCACTCCGACGGGGACCTTTCCCAAAACCAATGTGATAGGTGAGATGTCTCCGTTCCTGCTAGCTATCATCAACAATGGGGAAATTTTGATAATGTTCCTCTACTCGTCTACTAAACATTAAGAAAGAAAACAGATTCAGCAAGTCAAGCAGCAAATATAATCAGTACAATAAGAAATAGAATCGAAGATTGACGGGACGAAGGAAACGAATTCAGGAAAATCAAGGCATCCTGCAAATACATACAGACGAAGCGTACCGGAAATTCGAAGGCAAAGTTAATGGGCTGGAAGAAAAAGTTGATAGTGCGATGGTCCTGTTGGAAGCCAGAATAAATGCCCAGGAAGAGGTTGCAGACACCTTGAAAAGTAAAATTAGAGCCTTAAAGCAAGAAATGGCTAAGCTACGATCCGATGACGTAACCATCATCTCTATTGAAGTAAAAACGCACTTATTTGACGGCACCGCTAACTTCGACGCATTCAAGCTAGAATTCGGTATTGTTGGAACAAAAAATGGGTGGGTTGACGACGATAAAGCGGTCGCCTTAGTAACCTCCTTAAAATGAGCAGCAACGGAAATCATCCAGATTATCCAGGAAGTGAAAAGAACAGAACTCGCTGCAATTATGAATGCATTGGAAATACGCTACCGAAATCGAACGCCTGCCCAATCTCGAGTATCTCGGTGTGCCCGATGACTTGCTGGGAAGGTTAAAAATCGACGCCTTTGTTAAAGGACTTCGTGCCGCGGAACTTTAAAAAGCTGTATGGAAATCACCTAAAAAGACGTTTCCGGAAACGCTTCGCTTCGCGCTTATACAAGAGACAGCTAGTGTGCTGTGGACGTCAAATATGAAAGGGAGACGCATGGAAGTTATCAGCGAGAACGATATTTCGGATGTGGTCTGCGCGGTGGTTCGACAAGTCCTGCGCGAAGATAAGCGAATGCCGGTTTCAGAAATACGCAAGTGTTACGTCTGCCAAAAATTTGGCCATTTTGCACGGGAAAGCCGATCAAAGCACAAAAGAACACACTCCACATCACCTACATGGAATATGGCCATCCAACGAACAGGCGTTAAACTAACAAGAGTCAGCGAGCCATGGCTGACTCCGAACTTTGGTCGCCCTAGGGTCGGTGTTACTCAATAAAAGAGAAGTAACAGCAGCCTAACGATCGATGGGAATATCCAGGGACACTGGTGCTTCTCTTTTAATTACCAACAGTACGATCTTGTTTGGGATGAACAAGATTAAGTGAAGGGTAGCGTTACGGAAATTCCAAATCCAGTTCATTGCGGCTAATTAATTTTCCCAAAAAATAAATTCCCTAAAGAGGGAAAAACCATATGCACATTCGCGGCGCGTCATGCAGCTGCCGTCCGATGAAAACGATTATCGGAAAAGCAGATTAGCGGATTAAAAATGAAGAAATGAGGAAATAAAGGAATATAATTGTAAATAAAAGCAATTTGAAGTGTATTTCTCTTGAAAGGAATATCCGCGAACTAGTGTTACGAGTACTATCTTAGAAAAGCGAAATTCGTAACAATATCAAATCTAATCTTAACTTTACTAACGCCCAAGCAACAGCTCTTGTGTTTACGTTGGTCCTTTTTTACACACACAACGAATTTTCCGTAGTTGATTGTATGAATAACAGCGAAGAAGAAGACTGTATAACAGTAAAACACAAACACAGCTGACGAAAAAATATAAAAAAAGAACTAAAACTAAGTCCACTGTAAGGCGCAAATTAAATTCTATTAAAGACTACACAATATCACCCTCAATTGCAAAAGCCGATGATGAAAATGATTAAAGCGCTACGTACGAAATCTATCAAAATCCATAGAGATCATCAACAATAGCCAACGATATAATTGAAATTTTTGAATACTTAAGTACATATTCTAAAATGGCTCGAGATGTCTACGAACGAAATCCATAAATCTTCCTACTTCGTTTCGGTACGTTCTTACAACAAAAACATCTGAAGGGTTTTGCTCGTCTCCCTATAGGTCAAAGCGACCAAGAATTACATCACATTGTCCGGGATTATAAAAAAAGATTAAAAACGCGTCCAGAAGATACCAAGAACCGTCGATATGCTGCCTTACAAAACTTATAAAAGAGGAAGAGCATTTTAGTAAGCAAGAAATGATAAAAAGAGCTCCAGAGTTATATCAAGAATTTTTGGGTCAGTACATGAGTTTGGCGGAGATACAATTACGTGATAGTACGATGAACCTTACTTATGGAAGGTCACATTGTAAGGAACTAATAATTGATATAAATTAAGAGAATTCGCACCGCGCTATCTTCAATCTCAGAAATAAGTAATTAATGAGAAGGAAAATATAAAGTTTTTGACTGAAATTGGAAATAACTAAGATTAATGTTATCAATAAAAACTTGACACTTGAAATTAGTCTGGGAGCAGATAAATTTTTCAAATTGGTTGAATTGTTGGAATGTCTCTGTATGAAAAACGCGTCTCAACATATGCTACGCGCAATAAAAGCCGTGCAATACGAGACCTAATTGTATCTTGCGAAGAAAGAAAAGTCCTAATATACGGAAAGTGGAATAAAAACAATGGGCAATCACGAGTGTAGACGTCAGTCTGCGCGATTTTCCAACATAGCTGCGACGATACCTCCCACTAAAAAGGTAAAGCACTTGGTAAACATCTTGTTCACTCATTCTCTGTTCGATTTTTATTACATATAACAAAGTAGTTAGAATGGACATTCTTTTGCTTTTACACCAATTTTTCTTATGATTTCTTACAAAATGTCTATCATTTCCGGTATTTATCGTCTTCTTTTGCTTTGTTTTCGGAAATATTTCTTAAATTTCTAAAATAAAAATGGTTATATGTACTGCGATCTTAATATTAATTTTGCATACAATACCACGTACACTACTTATAATAGGGTAGGGAACAAGCTGCTTCTCTCGACTGTCGGCGTATGTCTTTTTACTGTCATATGCAAAAAGTTATAATTAATTTGCTTTGCATTTTATTTCTATCGTACGTATATGACATTTTCATAAGATATGTGTAAAACACACAAGAGAAAGTTTGAGTTTCAAATTTTCTTATATTTTTTGTTTTTCGTTTCGTTCGGAAAGTTGAGCATTTCATAGATGCTTAAGTTTCTACTGAGTATAATAAGGTAATGGAAATATTTTTTCTTTTTCGAATCTCTAAATATTCAGTTTTACTTTTATATATTAAATGTTAGGTTTTTTGTTCTCTAAAAAATTGATTGTTATCACTTAAATATTAAAAACATTAAATTAGAAAATATACATAAATAAAATTTAAAGTTTATATAAAATCTAGTTTAATTTCTTTATATCTATATTTATATAGCATTACAATTAAAACGATTTCGAAACGATAGGCGAAGAAAATAGACAAATGAGTGAAAAGAGAAGAAGGAAGTGGTGGGACGTAAAGACAATTTAAATGCAATATAATTTATAAAAAAAGTTATTTAATATAAAATTATCTCGTTAAACTATACACAAATGCTTAAAGCCTTCTTTCTAATACAAAATCTCCTAAAACAAGTCCACCTCGCTTTCATATCAAGAAAAAATTTTCTTATTTAAGTTCTCCTCTTTAATTTCGGCGGAGAATTTATTTTGGTAATTCATAAAATTGGACGGGAAGCGCTTTTGGTGTTATAATCTCATCTTCAAAATCATCGTCATGTATGGAATAGTCACCACCTCCATCACCATTACTGCCGCCGTTTTCTCCATGGTTAAATTCATTTGGTACAATCTCTACATCTGTGGGAGTGCCGGAAGTTGTAATACGTCCGCCATTACCGTAATTTGTTCTTGTTTTAGTTTTTACTACATGTTCACGCAGCAAATGCGAATAAAGTATATCGTCGATGTAGAACATTGTACCCAAGTTGTAGACGAATACTTCGCTTTCAATGATTTTTGCATTATTTACACTAGTAGCGTTGCTTCCAGGATTGCGTGTTATCTTTAAATGACCGCCGCCAATAGTTTCGAAAACTTCATTATCACGTAAATCACGATTGTAAAGACGCCCCTTAACAAAATGATTAAGCAGCATTTTGACTCCTCGTGGTGACGCCTGTAACCCAGAAAAGAGAAGTTGTGAATAAATCCTGAAATTTTTTTAGCTTCTATGAAAAAAAAAACAACATACTAGTATATCATCGCTGAGTTTATCAAAGCCTAGCTTTTCGAAACCTTTATCGTCGGGTACAAAGAATGTGTAATTAGCACCCGAAACATGAGGCGCTATTTCAGCATTGTTTAGATACCTAAAAAGTACGGTATGACATAAGATATTAGCTAATTAGTAAGAATTGATTAATTAATACCTAGTTATTTGCGTGAACCTAGGATCTCGTTCTAAAGCCAAAAATGAATGAGATAGAAACTGTGCTCCGAACCACGGAAAGGCCAACAAGGGCGGGGTTTCTTTGTCTTTGTGCATCTATTTTAGAAGAAAGAAGAATTGAATGAAAAAGCAAGTACTTTTTAATTGTATAGTATTTTTATAGTTTCAATCATTCATAATTATTTTTATCTTTGCTTACGGAACTCTCAAAACCAAAGAATGTTGATTTCGCTTATTTTCAATTCTTATTCGAACTTAGATTCAAACTAAAAACCATTTATTGTTTAACTAACTCAAATGACTATGAACTAAAAACCATTTCTATCCGTGGCTTATTGTAGATATGAACTAAAAGTTGGGTCATGTCCAGGTTCGATACAAAAATGGCATCAATCAGCTAACTGATACACTACTAAGTATAACTTAGTAAAACATCACTTTTTCCTTACATCTCTTTTAGTGCAGTCGCCCCAAATCTTATCTTGGTCTCTCAAGTGTAAAAACTTGTGTTTTAGTGAGTGTTGACATCATTTGTCTAGAATAGCTTATTTGAAAAGCGCTACTTTCAGATACAACGGTCAAGGAGAAAGTTGTCAACAGTAATAACGTGTGGTGCTTTGCATGCTCTTTGTCAAATTTCATTCCCAAGAACCTATTTTCGTCGCGCCTATCCTTTTGAAACCATGTAAGGGAGACGTCAATTCTTTGTCTGGTACTCAACGCCTAGTTTTTTTTATGCGAAAACAACAACGTTCCATGATGATGTAGCAGCAAGCAGCTCGAGCTTCGAGGTTATTTCGGTTGGCTTTAATTGGCTTTGTTTAAAGTTGCATTGGTAGATGGTGCCGTCAGCACTTTAACAAATGCAATTGCTTAGGAAAATAGTCACTTAGAGCAAACTGTTTTCGCGGGGTTGTGCACACATACTTGTAATTCAATGTAAATGCATAACTTTAAGTTTGTGAGCGAAATGCGCTACAAACTGGTCACAAAGAGACTTGATACTTGGAGAGGGGGGCTTATTTAGACATTTACGCGGATCGTAAATTGACGCACGTGATAAATGTTGATGATAGAAGTCCGCGAAACCAATATTTAAAATGAAAGTTTAAAGGAAAAGAGAGAAAAGATCCATAAGAAAATGAAAGGCGTCATGCAAGTAAAAAAATCTTTACATTAAATTATTAGCAAAATCGTACTATAAAATCCGGGCTGCAATAATAATCGCCCAAATCCGATACATACCTGATGTAGCTTAGAGACTACTGCTTCCGAAACGAATAACACCTCAGCAATTATGAATACTTGATTACCGTTCGATAAAGTGTACTCAGACATTATGGAGACATTATTAACTGTTGGTGTAGCTACAAAAAGTAAAGGATGAGAATAAATGAGAACATGAATATGTTTTGAAAATGTTATCTTTTATTGTGCATACTTACGTTGTCCCCTGAAGATGACAGTTTCACCACCCATGGTGCGCACCAGCAGTTGGTCAGTATTCTTAATATCGTTTAAACGTAATGGTTTCTGTGTGGGTAGAAAATGATTACGTAAAACACTTTCGGTAAACTCTTGAACACTGAACGGATAGAAACCCCAGTCGATGGGATGCCAACGTTGGAACGCGTTATCGGTGGGTATGAGTACAGTAAACGAGCCGTCGTCCATGATTTGTGTGAGATTACTTTTAGAAAGGAAGTGCTGGAAAACTTTTGTACCAGTTTTCATGCTGCCAAGAAATGACATTAATGGGCTGGCTTTTGATTCCTTTAAGATAGGTTCAATTTTGGTATGAGCCGCAAAATTGCTTGTGGTGTTGCGTATTTCCAAATGCTGTGGTTCATTATAACGACTTGGATGTACATAAGAATGAGTCCGTTTGTAAGTATGTAGTTTTAAATTTAAAACAAGTGTTCATAAGTAAGAGGATAGAGACATAGGGAGAGTGAGGGAGAGAGAGAGAAAGGGAGAGACAAAGTAAAATAAGTGATTTTATTGATTGCCAAACTTTCTAATGTTCAAAGTGCTCTGGTTTCGTTATACACATTTGTTTTCACCACACATTTCTGTACAAATGCATATTTATGCATATATATAAGTAAAGCACTAATGTAGGCTTCTTTATTTCTCTCTCTTTCACTATTTTTCGTTTATTATTATTATATTTTTTTTGTTCTTTTGATTTTTACAATTTACCTATTGCTTCCTTCCTGTATGTTACGTTTCGAATAGGGAGACTTACGGTCGCCCAGATAACCGTCAATAGCCAAAGCAATCAGATTATCATTGATGCGTACTCTGTGCAGTATCTGAAAGCCATTGAGTAGCCACAATGCATTATCACTATCATCACCACTATCGCCATTGTTGTTATTATTATTGTTGTTGTTGTTATTGCTGCTGCTGCTGCTGCTGCTGCTGCTACTGGCAGTTTTTTCCAATTTACGAAACACAATTTTATGCCCGTTACTATTACCAAATGAACTGTTATCCTCATCTGCATAGCTATTGAATACACGTCCAGGTATCATGTGCTCCAGCATGAACTCTTTCAAGCGTGGCTTTTCAATGGTGCGTACATCAATTTTTGGTATAATCAATGTAAACGGTATATCTGTAAATCATACAATCAATTTAACATAAATAAGGTTTGCATCGAGAAATTGTATCACTGACATTTTACAGTTAGTTGACATTAAAGGATCTTCATTTTAATATACATATACACGCCTTTACTATGTTACTATATATGTTGGTTGTGGTTGGTCTTTCTCTTTTTCAATTAATTAAGTATTCCCAACACACAATCAAACATTTCAGGTGTGTTCTTGTCTACAAATGTTCAGTATTCTTTTTCAACTGCTACTCTTTCAGTTTCAAAAGTTAAGAGGAAAGGAACAAACCTTAAAAATATTTGCAAAACATTTGCTTTTTATTATCCATCGATATAACCCATTAGTATTCTGTGCGCATTTTCTATACACTTTGAAGTAATTTGAAATTAAATTTCATATATAAAAACTGTCCGAATGAAATAATGGAAATATTTATGACTAAAGTTAGCTTTAATAAAATACAAGTTGGAAGCGAGTATCTCACGAGCACTTGTGAAGTAAATTCGAATATTACCACGTTCTCAACTGCTATAAGGCAGAAAAATTTGGTTAAAACGGTAACTGTAAGCTTGATAAACTATTAAGTTGAGCAATTTCTGAGTTAATGGAACTGCATTCTCTCTTTGTGTTTTCGAAAATCTGGCAACTGCTCTTCGCATATACATTTAGCTTAAGCAACTACTAAATATACGCTAGAGATAAACTGAAACTTTTCGTCATTTCTTCGCCTCTATGAGCTGCAAACGATACCTCTCGCAGTGGGACTTTAATAGAATGTGAAGTCTGTAAAAATTGCAAATTATCTTTTAAGTTTGGCTATAGCTGAGTTTATGTTATCGGAAAATTGAAAATTCTTTGGTAGTCCGTTGGACAGCTTTGTGCCCTTTTTTTTTGATTTGCAGACTAAAAGTAGACCAGTAGGAAATATGTATAACTTATAAAAGCGTAGTACGGCACCTTCGCTGTCAATCTGTTCGCACCTGCAATGCACCTTGGTTATAAAGATAAATACTTTGCAAACGCTATTACAAACTGTGAACATCGGCTCCATCATGTCATTAGACAAATGAACATGCAAATGAGGTGCTTATCATCGAAACAAAAAAAAATAAATAAAAATGAAACCTGCTACTTTGGATAAATTGAAGTTGCACAAAGCGCCCTAGTTGGGATAAAAATTGAAGTGAAAGGAAAAGTAAAAGCTCCTAATCAAGGCAACTCCAATCTTATCAAGAATTATTGAAAAATTATTTTTTAGTTTAGAGAGAGGAAAAGGTGTTTTTCTTTTGGTTATGAGGTTTTGGTGTTTATATGAAGCAGTGAACGTTGGACACAATAAGTAGGCATGCATAGACATAACAAGGGTTCACGTAGTTAGTCTCCAATAACTTCGACATAGACCTAATACTGAACACACCCTAAGCTTTTGGGAAAAGCGTGTTCTTGTTTCTTTTTCGTTTCACTCAACAAAAATTGAAACGGTACACGGGGACTTGTAAAAAAGCTTTAAAACAATTAAAAATAGAAATTATGCAGAAAAAGTGCTATTTCATTTAAATACAATTCTACACATGTATGGTCCTTCGAACGGGTAACCGGTATACTGCATGAGTGCATATATTTTGGCTCAATGTCCCATAGCAAATGCGAACAGCGTTCAATTAATTACAACATTCCGTCTTTATAAGTAATTTTATGAGAACTGAAGAAAAGAAATTTATATTCATTTATTTCTACTTTTAAATCCAATTATTTCTGCACATAATGTACACAATTATTAATATGAATTTAATGTTGTAAATTGCATATTAATATATATGGCGAGTACTTGACTGCTCATCAGTAAAAATGAGTAATTCCGTTAAAGTTATTCAAACGCTATTTGCAAAAAAATCATTACTTTCTGTGCATGATTTATGGGTGTCCCTCTGTACACAGCTTTATTCCAGTTCTGTTGGAAGCCAAGTAGAACAAAATAACAGAACTGAACCAGACGATGAAAAATCAAAAATTGGAGGTGAAAGTTTCGACTCAGCTTTAAGCAGTTCGTACAACGGAAAAGATCCAACTGGTCGGGTAAAGTTGCGATTTTAAGTTAATTGAATGATGCAGCAGTAAAGGACGACATAATACCTCCGGCTTATATGCCTTCTCATTGCTTAACATTACCAGCGTGCGGAACAGAGTGTTCGCTAGGAGATTACGACAAATGGTTTGCGTTTAGAGATTGATTCACTGCTGTATATAGGAGGACGTATACACTTAATAGTGCAAGGTATAATATTACTTCTCTCACACAAGAAGGCACATAAGGAGATTATTCTCCAAGGGCGTGTTATGCGTTTTAAGATAAGAATATATATAACAAAGCTCAGGGAGATTCATATGCTTTTTAAATATAAAACTTTCCCTAAGAAAGTAGAGGTATTGAATTAAGCAAAGATATACTCAACAAATTTGTACTAAAAGGAAATGGAGAGCAACCGGTAGTCATAACCGGATTTATTTATGGCCGTTTTTGCTTTTCTTGAATATGGGATATCGCCGTGAAGTTACTCGTTACGGGAGTAGTCATCTAGATTCGCTAATGAATTGGCTGACAAGCTTTGCGTCGGAAAATAAAGGTTTCTCGAAATCTTTAAGGAAAGCTTTGCTTAAAAATCTGTGTTGCCTCGTTATTAGAAAAGATACACGCAGAGGAATTCCGCTACATACTACTCTTGACCCCTTCTGCTGAAGAATTTGTGTGAAATACCTGGCCTTCTGGGAGGTTGCTAGACTACAATATGCCCGTAATTGTAGACAGGTGGAAAAGACCTCCGGTTATTATTTCTTCCCTCAATGCTTGGGCACTAGAAAAGCCTACTCTATTCTGAAACTATAAGTCGCGTGGTATCGCGATAAATGTTACTCTCATTCAGAGAATACATAACGACAATATGGTCGTTGCCGACATCGATTTCGGCCGAAAGTTGATTGGATCTGTGAACTATTTTTAGCGTCATGATATCGCAGGAATGGTTCGGTCCATCTGCGACAGCTCTATAAACTCGGTTTTTAATTTATAAATTAATACCGAACGGTCCTTTTCATGTATATAATAAACATCGTGCGTACACTGAAATACACATTTCTACTAAAATAGAGTTGTACGTCCGCTAACTGTGCAAATGTACGTAACTTACTGTTTTTAATGCTTCACTTACCTCTTTGCGGTTTATAGCCATATAATTCAAGAACTGGCAAACCGTCCTCCATGAAACGTCGTACATGCTGCCAATTCGCATCATAAATGTTTACATTTGAATCTGCTGGTAAAACGTTAACGTCCGGTATAAATTTACTTTCAATTAATTTAATATTTTTTAAGTTTTGATCGATTTGCAAGACTGTAGCAGATGATACAGTCACCGCCATGATTGATAATAACGATAACCATAACGGTGATGTAAAATATCGCCAAATGTTCTTGTTGTGCCTTAACATGATTGTTGACAAAGTCAATTTGACGATAAAACAATAATTTGATTTATTTTTTTGACGTAAATTGCTTCGGTGCTGCGTCCGTTCGTTCAAGTGTAATTAAATTTCCGCACCACGAAAGACCAGCACTTGCAATTGTTTAATGAAAGTGCGAAACGTGAATTGTACACAATTTATGGCACAATTGCTCTGATGTTTCGCTGCGCTTTCATTGCGCAGGCGTTAAAGTGTACACTGATTGTTTTTTTTTTTTTTTTTGGGTTTTTCTTTTTTGCTTGTTTCTTTTTTTGGGTTAATTTTGTTTGTCTGTTTATTTATTTAGTTATTTTTTTATCTCCCATTTCTTAAATGCTTTGCGATAATATGATGTGTTGTGGTTTTTTATTCTTTTAAATATTTATTAGCGCTGTGCGTTTAATTGTATAAATAATTTATTAGTTGTAAATGATTGAAGTTATTAACAGAAATAATGAAAGCAATTGTTTCATTAATACCAAATACATTTTTTAATTAGTTCCATAAGCTTTCCATTTGCACTTAATTTCAAAGAAGAAAAACTTTTTTTTTACTTAAAAGTTGTGTCACTTCGTTGTTACCGGTATGGGAGTATTGCGGTTTGCATGGATTGAATACGTGCATTCTAATGATTGCCCACGTTAATGACCGTTCATGAACGAATCATCGTACCCCCGACTCACTTTATTAAATAGCCCAAAAAAGTGCTGGAGTTTCTAAGTTCATTTAGTTGGTGTCTAATGGAGAGATTTATTATATCGTAAACGGCTTGTTATATAAGGGTATGTTAAATTTATGCGGATATACATTACATCCAGAAGGACTTGAGATGGAGTAACGTTTTATCATACGGATCGATACAGAAAGTGATCCAAACCTGTCTGACCGTTTCGCATTCTTGTATTTAACCTACAGGTCAACATTTTTGAGATATTTTGATGAAACTCTGTACGTCGACGTGTTTTAATCCAAGGGCGAACCATTTCCCGTATAACGGCTTATTTTGAATAGTTGATATATGAAGAACTGCATCAAGCGAGGAAGTGTAGGCTATTTAATGCTATGCCGCTATTCAGTATAGTGTTTGCAATGTTTCGCGGTGATTGTAAATTCATTTGTAAGCAGTTACTAAATAAACTAAAATGCAAGTATATTTGCGTAAATCGATTTAAATCAGAGGGACAGAAAAACCAGGCGATGTTCACCAAACATATTGGGATGTGGTCAGGAAGTAGAGGTTCCGATACGTTGGATTTCAACGCGGTAATATATGAGACGGCTAGTGGCCCCATTCAGTCGAGTGCACCTAGACAATATTAGAAAAATTTCTTTCACATAATTATATCCTAATCTTGGCCAGGCGGCGTCCATCTTGTAGATATCGGTTGGATGGGAATTATCTACATAGCGTTTGAAAACTCTTGAAGGCTCTCGACGGTTTTTTAGACATTTGGGATATATGTTTGCTCATTCTCACGGCCGAACTAACGGTAATAGCTATATTTACTTAATTTGTCTGTCTAATTAGGTCGTATACCGCCAGTACAATCAGCAAAATGAAAACCCCTACAAACTTACCTATTGTTTAATATTGGGTACATACTTGGGACCTTGTGCTATCACAAGATACTTTCAACTTTCTGGTAAAATTTCTTTTTATGTATGTGATCAATCACTCAGGAGAAGTCCCATATTGTATTGTAACGGAATGGTGGTCAGAAAGGAGTGGGGAGAGAGGTAGCGGCGGCAGGGTCTATAGACGCCCTGTCGGTAAGGGTTTCGTACTTACTAGTCGAGGACTCACTACGGCTATGGTAACACATCAATCGTAACGAAAGTATGGTCTATTCCTTTGGAAATTGGACCCAGATACGCCAGTTTGACAAGCGCTACCAGCCTACGCAGTGAAGATGTTCTTTTCTTTGCTTTTACCAGACAATAATTTCCACTTAACAACCCCTTAAGGGTTGGAATAAGGGCTACAAAAATCCAATTCTCTTACTTTTAAACAATCTCCTTTTGCCTACACATCCCTCTAGGGATCAAATTATGTTAACAGTTCTTATGAATGCAAGAATGCAACTGAATAATATTCTGCTTAAATATGCAAATCTGAGTCTAACCCTAGCAGATGCTTTCATGTATTTTGATCGCGAAAATGCTAATGTAATGCGGAGTATCGATAACGGTTAAAATCGATTTCGGCCTATCTGAACATACAATAATAGTTTTCCGTTTAGTATTATTGAGTGGTTTAGTGTATACAGACGCATATCAATAAACTCCCAAATTTGCATTTTCGGCATTCATTGCTTTTGTTGTTTGATTAAACGCAAACTCAGCCTGAACTCTCAAAATACTTTCGATTAGATTGGCATTTGATGAATCAGCTATTTCTAGACGTGTACAAGCGGTGGTAAAGATCCAAAAGGAGGGAAAATAAGTGTCATAAGCAATTGACTGAAAATACCATTTGTTTGCCAAGCAAAAAAAGAAGAGTTTTTTTTGGCATATTGTGTCTGAAGGTGAAAATTGCGTCTACTACGACAAGCCCAAGCCCAAGCAAAAAGTCATGGGTTAGTTCGGAAGAGCCATCCGTTCTGGTATCAAAGTAGAGTATTCATGGGTATAAAGATTTGCTATGCATATAGTGGGATGAGCTGCGTGTATAACGAGCTGCTAAAACCGAATAAAACTAGTACTGCAGATGTCAATTATACAAATTGAACGAGTTAATGTCGCAAAAAAGGACAGCAATAGCGATTAACAAATGCAAAGTCATCCTCTTGCAAGACAACGTTCGGCGACATATTGGAAGGGTTGCCAAGGACGCACCGTTGCAGGTCGAATGGGAAGTTCTGACGCATCCAGTGTACTCATGAGATATATAACCTTCTGATTACCAGTTTTTCAGATGGATGCAGGATATCATAGCTGGCACGCAGCTTCGAAATGCTGAGGAAGTGTGCAAATAGGTCAATGATTGGATCGCTGCCCAACCAATATCGTTCTTTCGACGTAGTATCGCCTTGTTGCCACAAAGACGGAAAAAAGTGGTTCAACATGATGGAAAATATTTTAATTCTACATATTTTGTTTTCGTATAAATGTCTTTCTCAAGTGAAAAATTGATCAGAATACATGCATGCACCTATTAAAATATGTTAATATACTTAGAATAAAATGAAATGTACGGTTCTTTCACAATAAATCATTAATTTTTGATAGAAAACGACGGGAACTTATATGTACTACTTAAGTACTTCTTCTATTATTATTAGTTTTTTATGGTTATGTCGCTTGTTACGGCTACCAGCATTCTTATAAATGACAGAATGTCTGCTACAAAAACCGTCTGTTATAAAAACTGTGGTAAGATTAGAATTGAAAACACTCTTTAGGAACTGCGGACTTTGGATTTAAAATAAAATACCTTCGAGCACATCGTTCAGCTGGATGTACGTCCATAGTCTTCGCATAAATTAGCTTAAGTTCCAGATTTAATTGCGTATATAATAGGCTAGCCCGAAAGGATGTAGTGATACGATGTATAAAGAAATTTTTATAATCGAAAATATACCTGTTATATACTAGTTGCCACCAGATCCATCAAAATAGCCTGACGGCGTGTCACTGGTTGCTTTGCCCTTAAAAATGAAGAGCGCGGCGGGGAATGGGTCTGTTTGTTAGACAGTTCGTTAATTGTGAATGAGGTGAAACAGCTTCTACAAAACAGCACCCCAAGCCCAAAATTTACCCTCCGTAGGGCAACTTTTAAAGGTTTCATATTTCAATATTGTTATAATTTGGAAGAAACATTTGTCATATAAACGATCTTTAGAAAAATAAGCCTTATCGGTGATTAATATGCAAAAATTGAGTGAAAGCATGCGTACATATGTAATAGATTTCTTATACGCTGTCAGGACGTCGTCTAAAGTAAAGAGAAATTTGTAAAAATATTGCTTTCTTAACACGTCCTCTACTAAGCCAAGCGCAAGATTCGTTCGATATTAAGAAAATCGTTCCAATATGTGACGTCGGACTGCGGTAAGAAGTGGTTGTGCCACATGCATGCAAACTACTTTAATATTAGAGAATAGGGGACATTTATAGAAAGCATACCGACAAGCTGAAGCTGTAACGACCTCTTCTCAATAGTTGAATGAACGCACTTCTTTAGCTACCGTAAGGCTTATGCGTTTATAGGCCTTTAAGTCGTTATTTTATGTGGCTTTAGTCTTAACTGAAAACATAATTGCATTTTAAAAAGTTTTAAATATATTGAAAAAATTTAAAATTTAGTCTTATGTTAAGGCCTACGAAATTGTTCGAATTTATTCAGGCGGAAATAATTTTGCTTTTTACTTTCAGATCTGTTACGAAAATTCTAAAAATATCTAATTAAATTTAAATTGATTGAATGAAAAAAGCAAAAAATGTATAAAAACGAAGAAAATCTCACTCTTACGCTTTGCTGTTACAACCAACATTTACAATAATAACAAATCCCAGTTTATGTATGCATAAGAAATGACAGCAATAAAAATTGATTGCCTCGTATTGTGTTGACCCCTGCACACTTGCACATACTGACAATCATATATATATATATGTATATATATATATAAAACATATGTATATATACATATATACAAGTGCATATAAATGATTGGAACTCGTGTGCAGCATCAACAAAATCTGTGATCGCATACAAGGCTGCTGTTGATTTTTTCATACACATATTCATAATGAAGCGTGTGTGTGCCGGCAGGGTTTACTGCCCATCTCTTCAAACACAATTTATTAGTTAGAGTATAATACGAAGCGCACTTAGATATAAATTAAATTCAATTAAAGAAACAACAGCAACTACCGTCATAACGAAGGAATGAGTGAGTAAATAAATGACAAAACCACAAAAAGTAAGAAATCAAATGATTTTATTAAAATTTGCAAAATAACAAATAAATAAAAAATAAAAAACTTGCACACCTTAAGAGGTGTATTGTCGCTATCGTCAGCCCAACGTGAAACAAGAAAATAGTACATATTTATTTATTGCAGATCAATGAGCAGAATTTTTGATCTATGTATTCTTGTTGATTAAATCCTCTAGCAAATAGCGTTCGTGTGTCAAAACGGTCTAAGAACACTTAAGAACACTGTCGACCTTAAATTGTATTTCTCTCGCAACGTCTCGTGTTTATGAACACACTCTGATGTTTATGTTAAATTTACGCTTTAAGTCCTAAGTCGTAAATTAAAATGTATTGATCCTTATAGTAAAGCAAATATTTCTCGGCCTCACATGACATTATGTACGAACGGAATAAGTGCTTTGAATTTTAATTTTTGGTAAATTAATTAGTGTTTTCTTTTAGTTATTATTATATTACGAATTTTCATTGTGCAAGGATTGAAAATTTTTCACTTTGGGCCTACGCGATCGCCCTCCTTTCCACCGCTCACCTGAAGAATTGTTTTGTGCATAAATTTTCAATGTTTTCGTTTTCTGCAACACTGTTTTGGAAACTTGACTCAAGTATATATTAAAAGGACAGAGGGACAGACATGCCGAAAATGTATTGCAGTCGCACTATGATAAAGGATATATACTTTTTTTGTAGGATCTCTGATCTCATTGGTAAGTGCAAGCTTTGTTTATCCTTATCTGCCTAACATTATACAACATTAGACTGTGAGTTGGTTATATAGATACCATTTCATTAATTTTCTGTCACTTTATTAATAAGCAATCATATGAACTTTAAAAAAAAAATATTGTTTTCTCAGCATTTTGGGAATTTTTGCAATTTTCACTAAATTCTTTCATTTAATAATTTTAGATGCACACATATGCACACACGCACACTTTTTTTCCTTATTTTCTTTTTTTTTTAATTCTTTTATGTGTTTCAATTACATGTAAAAGAGAATAAAAAAAAAAGTTAAGGAATTAAATTCTTTTCATCTTCAATTAAAATTACAAATTGAGTTTTTATTCAATTTGTATGTGTTTTTTTGCCTTCGTTACATATACTTTTTCTCTGAAAAACTTTTCTATTGTTTGTGCGTTAGTTCACTTGTGTGAGGTATGTTTGACCGCTCTCGTTGAATTACCGTCTTGTACTGAGGAATTGGTGAATAGTAAAAAAGCAGCAAAGAAACTCCTATCTGTGTACAATGTAGTGTAAGTGAACGCAATAGTGTGTGTGAGTTTGTGTGAGCCTCATTATTAGCGATTATGTCTTGTTTTCTTTTTGTTGTTCAAAACAAAAAAAAAAAAAGAAGAAGAAGAAATATTGTGCAACTTCATGCATACACATGAAAAGCTTTGAAAGCAGTGTAGTGGGTTTTTGCCTTTGCCTTTAGCAATTTTGTTTCTTTCGAATTTCCAGACCCAAAATGCTTTTCAAATGCATTAAACAGGCACTAAGTGCACTCGCATTCTCATTGCTTAACCTATACAAAAAAAGGAGAAAAAAAAAACAAGCTGCAGCAGTCGGTTAAAACTTGTCAAGTGTTTTTTAACTACTGTGTGCGGCTACTGTATGCCATTATATTTGCCACCATATACTTGTTTAATACTTGATGAGCAACAATGATTGTTGTCGTTCCGTTACTGTCAATGACGTCGTTGCTACCCCTGCCTAGTTGTTGTCATTGCCGTTCCTGTTGTTGGTGTGATTGTTGTCGCTGTCTGCGGTGATGGCGGTAAGTTTTAATTATCATGATTTGATGAATTTGATGCTTTTATTACGTTGACTGTTCATAATACTATTACAGTCTGCGCGTCATTTCTCTTTCTCTCTCTATCTCTCTCCATATCGCTTTTTCTCGCGGTTTTTTAGTCGTTCTTCTTACTTGCTCATAATGTAGAGATTTTATCTTATGGGTTTTTTGTTTTGTTTAACATTATTTATACATTATTTTTGTGTTTTTTCTTTTTTAAGAAGTTGTGGGTTTTTCTTGTAATTAGAATTCTACACTTGTGTTTAAATCCATTATAATCAGTCATTTTAATTGCGAGTGTGAAATTAAGGTATACTAAATTAACAATTTCATATGAAACATGTTTGGGTTCTATTTTTTGCGGCTATTCGGACGTCTTTCTCATGCTTATAAAAAGAAGTGCTCTACCTGTATCTGCACGCGTGGTGATTAGTCATAAATCTTATATTGTTATAATTCAGTTTAAAAGATATTGACACGAAAAGCCAGAGAACTCATTTTAAAGACTAAAGCCTACTTGTCACCTTAGGCGGATATGAAATGCTTAGATGAATTTCAATAATTTGAAATCTTAATGTTAGTCTTAATATTAGAATTTTAATATCGTAAAATATTTTATAAGGAACGAGAATGTAAGTTGACTGAGTATATTTGTATTGGTCTCTCTCTGTCTCTCTCTTGGTTTGGAAAACTCCCATCGCTATCTGTGCCGAATTTCTTTCGAGGCGAAATTTGAAGGAAATGAAGAAAGACACTATCATAAAATTTGCATATATTTTCGATTTTCACTTATCTACAACGTTTTCGTTGGCGGTTAAAACTCTTTGCTCAATTTGTGTTTATTAAACTATGCACAAAATTTTTCACACTACGTTTCACTGCGAGATTTCATAAGTTGCGATCATTAAATGGACGGACGAATAGACGGGCATGTAGCCAGAGAAAACGTTAGGTAGAGGTGTGAAAACGGGAGTGGACCTTACTTATGTTCGATTTATAAGTGAGATCTTTAGCAACGGTGGCAAAGACATACCATGAAGAATATAGCATACGATCTATTTGGCCAACGAACGTATTTCCAATCTATAAGAAAAGGGATTTTTGATAAAAAATTTCTTAATCGGTTTAATTTAAATATATCATGGCAAATTTTTCAAAACCCTTTTTTTTTAAATAGTTTATACTACGCCAAACTCCATACCAAAATATACCATGTGTTTCCCTGAAAAATGTAGACTTAGTCGAAAATTGATGTGAATAGATTCAGAATTGCGTTTATTACGGAGGTGTAACTATGAATTAAATACGAAAATAGTTTATTGACAACTGTGTTTCCAAATATCATTTTTAGTTTGTTTAAATCTATGAGCTGCAAAAACGAGTACTCAGGCGTTAAAGGCATAACACTTATCAAACTCTCTGTATCTATCTTTTTCCTCCACTGACCTTCTGATCATCATCGTGCTACTCATATAGGGTACAACTCTGAGCGATTGGTCATATTAAAAGCGAAAAATATTGGGAGCAAGAACACAAAATCGCAGGTTGAGTCCCGCTAAGAACTAACTTCGACTTCGACAGCATAAACGTTTCTTCAAAGAGGGAGAGTTAAAACACCAACTGCGACTTCGTTCTTATGCTAATTATGTTTCCATTTCCTTTCTTCTTCTCTTTCGTCATTTCTTAGTAAGCATCACTGTGTTAAATGTATAGGAGACATGCCCTGCGGGATTGGTTATATTAAAACAAAACGAACTACTTATTAAAAAGGTAGTTATTAAAAAGGAAAAGAAATGTAAAAGGATAAAGAAGAAAGGAATAATTTTTATATAATTCCACTTTTCCTATTGTGATATGGTAAGGTAATAAATATTCGACTTAATATTTTTCCGTAAACAGAATGCATTTGTTGCTGAGTTATAATTGTAAACGTCCCTAAATATAAATATTTATCTTTTAGGGGTTTTTTCCATTTTATGGTATTAGTATTAACGTCACACGTTCCTCACATTCTTAAGATACTGATCGCGTGAAGTAAGCGCATGAATGTAGCACAAATAATCCGTATAAATTATAATCAAGTAGACAAATAATGTTCACAGTCACTTGCCCCCGCTCCGAATGATTACGTATTGTAAATGCATTTACAAAAGTAGGCGGTGTATCGCCTTGTAATCTTTGTAATTTATGCGAAAATTATTTTCATTAAATTAAATTGTATTAACAAACTGAATGCTTCATTTGGCAAATCGATTAAGTCCACTTTCTGCATATTCTAAAAAATTATCGACAAAGCTCTTGATATTGATTTTTTAGTTTATATATTCGAAACTAGTTTCTCTAATAAAAAGCAATTTCTTTTAGAAGCCAATCCATATTTTAAGGTAAATTATAAAAAAAAAAATTTTAACAATGAATACGAAAATCGTTTTCTATCGATGCGGATACACAATTGTAAACAAACAAGTGTTGAGCCTTTACTCTATTTTTGATTTCATGAAGTTCAACGATTCGGCAGGTGAAGCATTCGATTAATAACAACACAAGAAAATTGTATCCAACTGTGACCGAACATTTTACACCCAACGTCGTTATCTGAAGACAGAATACACACATTTTTATTTGTGTAATCTATGAGTAATGAGCAAAAAGCCTATTTATCTGACTTTTGAAAATAAAGCTCTTTTATGTTTTATGTTGTGGGCGTGGCCTTTGAAGCTACTATCTGAACTATTGCCATCAGGAGAATCTTTATTACGCAAATCCACAGAGATTGAAGATGAACTTGCTATTTGGTACTGACCCAGAATATAGAGAATGTGAAGCTTGCTTCTGCATATTGTAGACGTTTTAACAAATCTATAAAATCTTAAAATGAACTTCTTTTAAGTTTTTGTTCATACTTAGGATACCTCTAAAACCATTTTTAAATACGGAAATATTATTACTTTATAAATAATTGGAAATATGCGGGGAAAATGAAAACGAACATAAGACAACATAAACTTATTTTTCTGTCCACATATCTGCATATTATATCAGGTTTCTGAACTTTTCTTCTGAGTGTTGTTGCAAAGGTTTTGACAAAATAATATTATCAAAGTAATTGATGTAGAGCAGAAAGTTTGTCACATCTACGTTAATAATTAGAGGGCACAGATCAAGTAGAAGAACTGTAACTTTAAAATTCTAGAAAAAAATTGATTTAATATACATTTGCTTGCAAATTAAAAGTGAGCCTCATCGATCAAGCGGCTCGCCCTCAATTAACATATGCAATTTTTTAGCATTCACGATCCGTCTTAAGCGACGCATGTGTGCATATCAATTTACGCGTATACATATATGCGTAACTATTTTGTATATATCAAAATTACCACACACCTGTATAATATAACTGATTAGGAAGTGAAATTTAATAAATGATTTTCGTGAAGATAGTAATGCTCCAGTTTACTTCAGAGATCACATTCAAATTCCTTACTTTAATTTTGCGAAAAAAAAGATATTACTTTGCTTAGGGGCGATGAAAACTTCGACTCTACGACTTATCACATATTAAATCAGCAACACACTAGAGAGCAATGAGTAGACATTTCTTTTGCTCTTTAAAGTATCCCCCGGAAATTTTCTATTCGCACACAGCAAAACCTTTTCTTTCAAAACGTGTCCAGCTTCTATAATTCCACTTAGGCAACTTCAGAGTAAATAAACTTGATATTAGTTTACTTCATTTTAATCAACTTCTCATTCATTAATTATGATTACCTAAGTATTTAGCTAAATGTAAAGGAATGCAAGCGAAAAAAGAAATAAATAAATAAAAGAACGAAAAAAAGCCGGCAAAACAAAACGTACACGTAAACATCGCTATACCTACGCGTAAAAATAGCGTACACATACGGCATTTGGTAAACAGGTCTCAAAACAAGTGCCGAGAAAAAAAGCAAAAACAAAAGCACATCATTCACACGAAGCTTGTTCGTAATTGATTTGGAAAATAAAAGAAAAAAAGTCACTTTTACTACGAGCGAGTTCTAGCTGATTGTTAATGTGTGTGTATCTCAAAAACTTTCATGTACACACAGATGCGCTTGC